GCGCGGTGCTCACTGGATCTTGTCTGCAGGCCCAGGGAAGTGTTGGCTCCTTCCTAGCAAAGCATCGCCTCAGTCCGGTCCTTCCTAGAAAGGTAGTAACACTGGTCGTCTGGTCCGTGTAGGCAGGTAAAACTTCATTTGTAGAAAGAGATTCTTAATATAGTTTCTTGTGGTTTAATTTGTTTGATGGATTTGTGCTTATTTTGGGGAGGGGAAGGCAATGGGAGTAAGGGATCCAGTTCTTGATCTGTACCGCTAAAACATACCCGCTGTCACAATTGCTCTTTTGTGAACTGCGTCGCTGGCCAAGCCACATGTAAGCTTTTGTACAGACACCTGACATCTGGCTCAGGCTTGAGTCTAATACTGTCTGAGTGAGTTTTTCCTGTAGATTTTCAAAGCCCTAGACCTGCAGTTGATGGGGATGTTGACTGACCCTCCCTTGCGGTGCCAGCAGGGGGGTGCATGCCTCACAACTGCCTTGGGTTCCCCTAACACCCCATTCCAAGCAGCCATGGGCATTACATCAGTGTTTATCTCCACATGAACAAGATCTAGTAATAAAAATCACTGTAAATTAATCTCAATGTGTTGCCTTAAGAACCTGCTGAGGAATGTACCACCACCTTGGGCTGCTGCCCGGCCCCCTTGTGCTCATCCCTGGCCAGCTGCTTCAGGGGGGAGGATTCCCAGCCATACCAGGGGAGTGGTGGCTACAGAGACCAAGGTCAGAAGCTGTTCCCATTGGTCTATTTTTGTACATTTTTATTGATGATTAAACCTTCTCTTCCAGTGTGTACTAGTACTCATTTCTACTTTTAAAGGCTCTGTACAGCTCTGATAGGTTATTACCGTCTTCCACATTTTGGATTTAAGCAACATAGTCGCTCCCACCAAGAAGGGGAAGACGAGTTGGGAGTTCAGCTTCCTTCACTGCATTTTTTTAATCCCGTATCAGACAGCAGTTACTAGTGCATAAACCCCTGAAAGGCCTGATTTGTACAGCATGCTTTCCTGGGCCGGTTCTGTGATTCAAACTAAGAATGCTACTGCACTGAAATTACTAATTTGCAATAGGAAATTCTGGTGATGGATGATCCCTGTGGATTGGCAGAGTAACTGATAACTTTGGGCTTCTCAGGAGGCTCCATGTGCCAATATCGGCATTTCCCCTGGAGTGCAGAGCTCTGGGGGAAGAATACCCGAGTTTGGTCAAACAGGACTTGAGTAACTCTCTGTTATTGTGTGGCATAAAGCTGGTGGTGGCAGCTTTTCCAGGTTCCCCCACTGCAGAGCAAGTGGCTCTCCTGTGCTGGGGAGGGTGGGTAGCACTTGATCCTCCCAGGTCTGCCACCATTTCATAAATGTGTGTTTTGTGAACTGTGTAAATTCCCTTTCCTAGGAAGAGATTTAAAATGGAAACACACAGCTTGTGTAGCCCACAGCACTGCCTGGGTGCAGAACAGCTCCACAGGGGGGTAATGGCGTGACACAGGTGACAGAGCACTGCGCTGCAGGGAACAGCAGCTGAGCGCTGAAGCTGTCAGCTGTAAGAGTTTGCAAATGTGTTAGAACTTCTGCACAGTATTTTGTTACTGCCTTGCGTTTGTGTAACCACCCTAAGGAAAAAGTGTTTCTAAGTAAATACTGCTTTTAAAAGGTTTGCCTTTATTTTTCCATTAAAAATAAAAAAAACCCACAACTATGAATTTAAATTACTCTAATGGGTTTTTTTTTTTGTATGTCTTTAGCAAAATCCAGTTAAGAAATGCATCTTAAGACTGCTTTCAAATAATCCTAGCAAGGCCTAGTTTAGTTTTTTAAGGGAAATGAGTTTGGACTTTTGTGTAGGTTGTTCTCTTCAAGTTCAGGACTTCTGTTTGTCCAGTTGGGGTTTGTTTCTTTATGGCAAACTACTTACTCATTGTCACTCACTTTCACAAGGAGGGGTGGCACCTGCAGCTGTGCTGGGCCTGCAGGGCTGTGTTCCAGTGCCTGGTGTCTCACAGTGCAGGCTTTGACCAGGGATCCAGAATTCATCCCTTCTGCCTCCTGTGAGTCAGGCTGTGCTGTAGCCAAGGGTGAACTAATGGTGTGAATGACCTGGAGAATTATTTCCAGGGTTTATCATTGGTAGCGGAGCTCAGGAAGTGAACTCTTGGATCCCAGTGCGTGGGGGCACTGCTGGGGGGTGTCTTCTCTTCCTCTCCCAACTCCAACAGCCCCAAAGACTCGCACTGCAGTGCCAGCACAGTCACTTCTGCCCTGCTGCTGGCTCCCAGCCGTCACCTGGCACATGCCACCCTTTGTTAAAACATGAAAGTGGCCCAAAAACCACCCCTCTGGATTACTGTGTAGTAGTGTAAATAGTTTATTTGATCTTATGCCAGGAACAGACCAGGAAAGTAACATGAACTGCTTTTATAAAACACTTCTAATATTGCTAAGAAGCAGGTCTATTACTAGAAAAATATGAAAGAGAACATGCCAGCATTATATTCAAGCTGTATGATAAATTTTGCCTTCAATTAAAAAATGACCTTTGAGCTTAAGCCTATGAGAACAAGTGCTTTTAACCCTTTGTTTAACGATTGATTAAATTAATGCTCAAATTTTCTTATGCAGATTAAAATACTCTTCTGTCACTGCCCGTGAAGAAGGAGGTGGGTTGGCATGTTCTCTTTAGCTTGTCAAGTACACGTTGCTGTAAATGCAAGAAGGTGGCAGTTTTCAAAGTAAACTTCCTGTAAATAGGTAAGCAGAGGTCAATGTGGTAACTTTGAGCCCCAAACTGTCCATTTAGTTAAATATAAAAACAAAAACTATAAGTTAAAATAACATTCAGATTGTATAGCACAGGCTGATGCATTTCTTTTTAAACAATATTTACAGTATTACCCAGAGGCTAAAGTGGGAGTAAAAGAGAAGTGTAAAAACCATACAAAACTGCACCAATTTTGTAGCAAAATATCTGTACATTTAAAAACAGATTATCATATAACTACACATTATCCAAGAAAAAAAAATGGGACCTTCACCAGTGGTTCACATAAGCACAACATAAAAGAAAAAGAAATTCAGTGGTTAAATACTATACAATAAATTTTACAATTAACATGTTGATGCGATGAGACCAGGCAAGGTAAGCTGTAAGCAAAATGTATCTCGGGAAGTTCAGTTCAGTCCAGTTCTTTACGTGTGAGAAGATCGCGTGCCCTGCCAGCACGAGCTCAGCTTTGTCTTGCTGCTCAGGGATTCTGCTGCAGACCAGCAGTGCGGGGCGCAGCATGTGGCTACAGTCACTCTCACGTCCCTTTTATCTTTAAAAAGCAATGTAGAACCTACAACCTAACAAGATTTTTAGGCTGGGCTTCCATTTGCTGACCAATGGTCTGGAATTTGAACCAGACTGTCCAAGGAACTTTGCATTGGAGCAGGGTGTTAATCCAACAGAGCAGGGCAGAGGATGGTTCTCTGCACAAGGAACTGAGCCACGACCGTCCTCAGAATCCTAATGCTGATTATTGAGATGTTAATACCTTAGTGCTAATTAATAAATACACTGTTATTCCAAAGCTGATGCTAGCTGGAGAGCCTTCGCCACCCTCCTCACCCTGTGCATTCACCAACGCATTTGCCCCCAGCACCTCCAAGGCCTCAGCCCCGCACTGCACACCACAACCACCGCAGCTGAGGGGTGAAAATTCGTGTCCGTCTGCTGCACACCTGATGCTCACTGATGTACACGGTAGCACAGCCTAGCTGCAGTGGCAAGGACTCTGGGTGGTGGAAAAAGGTACGGGTCTCTTCCTGGAACAATTCCGTATTACCTATAGAAAGCCCTTAAATGTCTTCCCTTTTTTTTTGTTGTTTGGGGTTTTTTGTTATAAAAAGGAAAAAGCCAGTAAGTGTGGCTGAAGCCAAGGTTAACCCCTCGGTGGACAGCACAGGAATGCATTCGAAAGCAGAGCAAGTCCAGGTATTCCCTGTTTACAACTGGTCGGGATGCAGGTCAGGTCCACAGGAGACCAGTCACTAAACTTTTTTATAACCAAACCAAACTAAACACCCAAACCAACACGGTATTTTACATTTTGGTTAAAAATACTGAATAATGTATTGGTGTAAAAAGATACCCAATCAAATCAAGTCCTATTGCTTTGATCAATTTGAGCAGGTACTTTAGGCACTTGTTAGCTACAGTTGACTGGAGAGCCCATTACTGACGTTCCTATGCATTTTCTAGGTCTTGGAGCCCTTTAGAAAGGAAATTTTACCATTCCCCAGGCTGTAAATGAGTGGCAGAACATAGAGCTGACACGGACAAGGTATCATGCAAGCACCCCCTTTCCTTGACACCTGCAGGCCTCCAGCTCACATGGTTATTTCAGCACCGTTTGCAGAGCGCAAGTTCTGATCATCGAAGCGCCGCCTGACACTTCTCCTCACCGCGTCGGCCCGTCGGTACGGCTGGTTTCTAAGATCTGCAGAGAGGAAAGCGGCGTTCGTGAGCACGCACGGCTCACCCCACCACACACACACACACACACACACACGCACACACACACACACGCACACACACACACACACGCACACACGCACACACACACACGCAGTCTAGACAAGGAAAAGTCCTGCTGGAAGCCAATCAAAGCAGCTTGTGTAGGAACAGGAGAAAGGACTTCACCCCAACCAGAGCAGAAGTGAGCAAATACTGACGTGCCCTTTTACTACGCCCCCAAGCAGCGGGTAATACTGGTGAAATGTGCCAAAATGCTGGCAAACTAACTGGAGTTAGGCTGACAGGTTGGTCTGACTGTCTCCCCGCCCAGGGGCCATTACTGTTTGTTAATGTCAGTCAGAAAGGCAACATCAACTGAAATCAGTTTGCATGATACACATCTTGGTCCTTCACACAGCTTCTCAAACATCAGGGTGCGGTGAAGGGGATTTCTAGGGCAGGAGACGTGTGACCCATTGTACAGTGGTGCAAGTCACAGAGTAGATCTACAATCCCTATGTACCCATTTATCTAAAAGAGGGTGCCCTGAGATAAAGCAGCTGCAACTGGCTTGCAGAGCTCCAGCTGCCATCCTGCCCCACTGGCACAATCCTGCCAGGCTGCAGCAGAAGAGCCAACCCCCTCCCTCCTCCTGGACCCAGCCTGCTGCTGCTGCTGCTGGGAGGTGGGAGCTCAGAGGGAAGAATAGGTGACATGAAACATGCAATGGACTGAAGAGTGGAGGAAGCTGGAGATGGACATATTGATGAAAGCCTGTTACATGTGCTGTTACACGGCCGGCTAGGCTATAATAAGCACATCTGGGACACCTTAAGACTAATTCAAGCTGGAAAAGAAATTTGTGTTGGACTTGGAAAAGCCCTTAAATGTTTTGGGTTTTTTTTTTTTGCACTAGACTGGGCAAACCCTCCCTCCAATTTCCTGGATGACTTATGCCTTGCCTAAAATACAGCTCCCAAACTTGTCAGCTCTTGGTGTACCTAGCAGACGGTGCCTTTTTTCAAGGCTGCCCTCTCCAGTCTCCATGCTCCAAGCTGCTGGCTGTCCATCTCTCCTGCCCTGTTCAGTGGCTGTAGTAGGGCCAAGACAGGGGCAGCAGAGTATTCAGGGCTAATGTGGGTCTGAAACAATCTGGGGACAAGACTGCCTACCTCAGGCTAAACTAGGAAAGGCCAAAATGGAAAGAGCGTGAAGACGGTCCGCAGCCAATGGCCTGTGGAATCCCTGCACCACAGAGGGTGAAAATAAATGGCCTCGGTCTCCACTGGCCCTTAGGCTCTCACCAGTATTACGCTTAGCCACATCTACCAACAGGCTGTCTGGCAGACAGAGAGAGGAGGAAGCTAAGTAAAAAGTGATGCTTGCCAGCTCTGTGTATCCTCCACCACCGGTGTGCTAGAAGAAATCCTTACCCTCGAGTGAACATTTGGAAATTTAGTGATATTATTCTTCTTTAGGGCTAAACAGAAAAAAAAAAAACAAAACAAAAAAAACAAAACAGAACACAAAATGATGGTTAAGTAAAAAATGGGATGGAAAATGAAGAGCAAGTCAACTCAGCATTCAAAACTCCCAGGCACATTAGCCAACAGAGCAAGAGGGGGGAGGCCAAGGCTATAAGAGGAGGTTAGACAGAGAGGAAAGGACAGGAGGGCCACCCTCGCCTTTCACTAACCAAATTCCAAGCTGCTTTGAAGATTGGCTCCAGGAAGATAATACTGCAATTAACTTGAAAGAGCAAGTAACTGTTGAGCTGATAATAGTTTGCAATTTTATTAGAAGCATTCATAAAAATACATATCATAGAATTGAAACACTGTTGTCTTCTTAAGCCACAGAGTCCTTAATTCAAGACAACAGTGTTAACAGACATGCTGGGTTAAACACACCCTTCTTACACTTTACACCACATGATGTAAACTGCTCAGTTCCATGTCAAGTTTTTCACTGTCACCATTTCTGCAGTTCTGGCATGTACCAAAGTGTTTTCCCAGCTCTGCTCCTTCTCTCTCCCCCCTGGATCACATACCGAGCCCAATACCAGCACTGCCAAAAGTCCAAGTGAATTGGAACTGGTTAGCACTCAGTGCACACTTCTGATTTTCTTTAAATCAAGTTGGCATGGAACTGAAAAGAGTTAATTATGGATGTGACCAAATGAGAGAAGATTTCATGCTGTTTATTTTATCCTATATCTCACATGCAGACAAACATGCAGGTGTTGGTTAAAGAAGTCTAAAATGTGATACTCCTCACAGAGGACGCAGGTTATTGCAGACAACCCTTCCAAGCCAGAAAGCCAACCCCAAGAAAGTCCCACTTAGTTCATGCCACTTGTAATTTTGCTTTGGCATATAGCTGATGTATTGCATGCATTTTACATTGGTAGACTGGCAGACAGAGAAAGATCTGTAGGCCAGAAGAGATGACATAGAAAAGCCAAGGGAACTGTCACTTCTTGACTGCATTTGATCTCCTAAGTCTTGTGAACTGTAGGAAACCTGCACCACATCTACTGTGACTTCTGCCACTTGCTGTTCTATGGTATTTGTAATGAGAGTGAGAGATGCCTTTGAAACGCAAGGATGGCCAAAAGCATCAAGTGCAAAGTTGATGGGATGGAATAAAAAGTTACTGAAACACAGACATGCAACAGAGGTGATACAGATACAATTTCAGGTGACGCTGGACATTATTATACACTCAACATTCACATGATCCTGGCTGAGATCCGTACAAATGGAGAAGTGTCAAAAATCTACAGCAACCTTTCTTTTTTCTAAGAGCATCAGATGTGAAAGAGGAATAGTTTAGTAATGGAATTCCTCAGTGAGAACAGGTTCGCAGAAAAACCGAGAGCCCCGCTTGGCGGTTCGAGCGGTAAAGGGCACAGTCTTCAGCACTGCATGGGAATAACAGCCAAACAGACAAACAGAGCCATGAGAAGCAGATCTATTGCATTAGTACAGTGTTAGTGCTCAGTTACGGACACCCAGGGAGAGTTTCACATGTTCCAATCAGCTGCCTAATAGCACTGCACTTCAGTGGGCTTTCAACGAGGCAGTTGCAAATCTCTGAATAAGCATTTCTTATATTACATCATTTTCAACTGCTTTGAGAGACTACTGCTAAATGTGCTCCAGAAAAGGGTGTGGTGCTAGACAGAGCTCTGCTGTGAATCAGCAGAGCTTTCTTGTGTATCCTATGCACAACACTTTTGATCATTTCCATACCATTGACAGGGATCTCACAGGCAGTATTCACCTGACCTCAGTCCTACCTGACTTTTTGTGACTTTTAGTATTACTTTATTATTAGTCTGGCACTCCCCCAACTGGACTGCCTTTAGAATGTGGATGGTCTTGTGCCACACAATCTGTTTCTCCCACAAAGCAGAACACTTTACCAGTTAAACAAGCTTCCAGGAGTCTGCTGGAGTTGTAGAAGCAGTAACAGATTAGATATTATAGCAACTCTGCCCCTTAAATTAAGAATAGGATCTTAGGAAGCTATTAATCAAGGTTAGAAAGAATTGTGAAAGCTTCAAGCATTTCAGCCCTGTCATCCAGTTGGGCAAGAATTCCCTGGGTTTCCTTAGTCAGTGGTAAAACAGCTCTCCTGTCCTCCTACAAGAAAAACTTTCAGGAGCAGTAGCCAAGGAAATCCTACCCAGTGAACTTTTTTTGAGCTTCTGTGGCAACAAATGACTGTTAAGCTACAGAAATATTAAAATCCTGTTCCTTCCACACCACAGGTGAAGAACACGCAGCAAAATCATTGCAGTACGGTACTGCAATCAGAGCAGCTGTACAAACTAAAAATTATCTGATTCCTAGGCAAAATGCAGTTCAGAAGGTGTCTCTTTTTATCAGCAAATACTTGCACCGAAGTCCTGACTGTGTTGGGCTCCAACAGTGGGTTCTGTACCTCTCCCTCCAACCCTGGGTTGGGATCAGTGCAGACTTTGCCTACCAGTCTGAGACGCAGTAAAACCAGAAGCAGTTTAGGGTCATAAATCATTCAGGTTTGACTAAATGATTCGCTGTAACTGTGCAATAATGTGGTGCAATTACTGTTAGTACATTTTAATGAAAATGTAGGCTCTTAATAATGTTAAACATCTGTCATTCGTTCCATTTATGGGGAAAAAAGGTTTCTGGGAAAGATCTGCACGGCATGCATATCCCCACTGGAGCATCTGCTGAGATCAGGCACTGAGCTGGCTACTGTAAAGATCAGTGAATGAGTATGACCCACATGCTAAAAGAGAAGAACTAAGAAACCAAGTGTGTGTCTGAGGTGTGTGCACTGGCATCGGATACCTGAGGGCAGGTTATTGGGGTTTGTTTGTTATGTACCATTAGCAAAGGTTTCTATGCTTGCTTCACATCATATAAACACTCTCCTAAGCTCAAGTAATGGTTTTTCAGGAAGTATAAGAAGCACTTACAATAGCGACTAGGCAAATACACATTTTTATCCACTGTGAAAGGGCCTCTGAGATTACAGAAAAAAAGGCGGTTACCTGTTATAATATCTTCAATAGCACCATCCTTCCCTTCATATACATGTCTGTTATCCTTGACTTGCCGCCGCCTGAGCTCTGCAATCAGCTCTTGCTGCTGTCTCTTTGTTTTATGTGAAGGAGACTGAAAGAAAAGAAGAGAGGATTTGTAAGGCCTGACCTCCAGCTATCCTGTTTCTCTTTTGCTGAGTGTGAAACACCAGGTGATTGCACTGGTAGCAACAGAAACTGCCAGTTTTCTGCCCAATTTTGCAAGACCGGGAGAACATGGCAGTTAGCTCACATCCCATGAAGAGGATGGACAGAGTCACAAGTTAACCTGGCTGCCAAGCTTCTTACATTTGTAGCCTATTTCCAAGCCTTCTCAGGTTGGAATTGGAGCTTCAAGCTGTCACCCCTGAAAAGCATCAGGGGAATAAGGAGAACCATCTTTCCTTCTGAGGGAAAAAGTGTGCCTGGAATTAAAGATCCAACAACAGCTGCTGGAAGCAGCACCAGCTGATAAAATGTCTGGTTTAGGGCCATGGGAACCTCCAGCAAATCTGAAATGTTAACTCAAAAAAAAAAAAAAAAGGAAAGTCAGGAAAATACCTACAAAACAGTAACGTGGAGCTCAGTCCTGCCACCAAGCCCTGACAGGTTAGGACTGGGGAGGATTGTTCCTTGTCCCAGTAAGCGATGGGAAGCTCTGCACACTGAACACCCGCTGGATTGTAACAAATACAAGGCCAGAGAAGAATGAAGTTTAGTTAATGGCAGTGTGGACAAGATGACTTTCTCAGTCATTTAATTTTATTTCATTCAGTTTTTCTTAATTTTGCAGACTTCAAAAGTAGCAGAACCATACACCATAACGCTTCCAGCTTATTTCAGTTCTCTCTATGTAAGAAGAAAAAGTCCACAGACCCTATTTCTAGGGAGCTGTAAATTGGCCAACTAAATTTCTTACACAGAGATGAAGTTTCTGAACTTTCTAAGAAAAAACATGAGATGGCTCCTGCCAGTTAAGATGTATCTATCTGTTTCTTACCTTTTGGTCCTGTTGCTCCATCAATGCTTCCTGCTCCATAAGTTTTTCCATTAAGGCCTGCTCCTGCTTTTTCCTCAATTCATTCTCTTCTTCTGCTTGCTATTTATCACAAAAAAACCCAGAGGTTATAGCTTTCAATTGCTACAGGGAACCTAAAAATTACAAATTAGTAGCACTATCACTTGCTACCATGGGGCTTTCCAAGGAAGAAACATCAGGCACAGCAACTTAGCTGCCTTTCAACACAGTCTGAAATCACTCGGCTGGGAGAGACCTTCCTAGGTTGCACAAACCATCCTCTCCCAGTCTCAAAAGACACATATTCAGTGTTAAAGGTGTAAGCTGCAGCCACTCAGACATTCTGAGGATTCCTCCAGTATCCCAGACAGCCCTGTTGTCTTTCAGCCCTGAAAATAATCCCAAAACAACTACTTGTGCTGCCTCCGGCTGTTGTTGCCGTGCTGTCAGGAATAGTTTACACTGCGTCAAAGCTAGAGGGAGCCATAAGGTGGCTTGTTGGGAGTCTGGAGCCGTGCAGGTACCAAATTCGGTTTTGGAGGGACAGAAGAGGACGATGCTCCATTTACCTTGTAGGCCTTCACAAACCGGACAAACACTGGGAAAAAGACAGAGGGGGGTGTCGTCTTGGGATTCTCCCCGAAATACTTCACAGCATCATCAAAAGCGTCCTACAAAAAGCACAGATTTACTGCATAGCATGTATTTCCAGATAAACTCCCCATCCATTACTGCAGTATTCAGTATAAAGCGTCCAGATTTCATCTGCATATGAAACCCCTGGCTCAAACTAGCACATCTACATCTAGCACTTGAACACAAACCATTCTGCAATTCTAACATTGCTGCACCTTCTCATCCCTGCTGTATATATAAAGCACTTCCAGTGACATGCTACTATTCACTGTGTCACTTGCACACTAAGAATAAGTAAATACCTGGGCTATTTTGGCGTCATCCTGCAGTTTCTTTAGCTTCCCTTCATTGTTCTGAATGAACTCCTTCAGCATCGTGTTGTGGTCATGCATGGTGTACTCACGCTTTGTCAGATCCAGGCCCCTCTGCAGCTCCTTCACATCCAAGAGGACGTTTTCAAGAGACACTGGGAAATGAAATAAAAATGCTGCATCATTCCTGCTGTGCAACTGCCTGAAGCTTGAACAATTCCCCACCAAGAAGAGCTCCCATAGTATGCAGTGAAGTCCCTTGCATGGCATGCATGCTGCCACCACCACTCATCAGGGACAGAAGGGTCACAGTACCTGCAGCAGCCTTCTCCACGTAATGAAGCTCATTGTAAAAGAGGGATACGTGTTGGTACTTCTCCTTGACCACATTAGAAATATAGTGCAGCAGAGTCTGCTTTCGGTCTGTTGACTTCGTTTCTAGAAGCTGGGGAGAAAAGGCAAAGAGATTGTTGGGTGGAGGCACAGGAGGCTCCAAGCAAAGGGACTCAGCCAGAGCTTCTCCATCTGATAGGCATGGCTACAAAAGCTCATTCAGCTGTTTAGGAGGTAGCTTTCAAGCTGTGGTCTGCAGGGCCTCTGAAGACATGTGCCTTCTCCTAAGCAGCCCCCCAAAATAACAATAAGCAAAGCAAACTTACACCCCCTGTCAGGGAGTGCTTTGCCCGCTGCCATGGTCTGTCTTCACCATGTGCCCCCAGAAGCCACTCTTGCCATGTACATGAAACGTGTTGCCACACACAGTGCCCAAAAGGCATCTCTGGTTTACTTACCAGGTCTAAACTCTGTAGCTTAAATCCATACACAGCTCCTCGTTTACTGCTGTTCATGTAGTTTCCAAGAGCCAAGATTATCTGCCAAGATGAAACAGAACAGAGGATGAATTTTCAGGACAAATGCATGGTGCTTTAAAAACCTCTGGAAGGAGAGCTGGTATATCAGCACTCATGTACTGTTTCAGTACATGTAAGGGGACACACCAGTGAGTGATGGAGCCATTGAACATATCTAACATCACACCTACCTCCAGTATTTTCTTAAGCTTTTGGGATGATTTTATGGAGACAGATGCAGCTATTATTGCATGAAGTTGCTGCAGGTAAAGACAGGAAGTGCTTTGGTTAATGCATGTCCAACCCAAGAGTAAAATTAAAATCTAAAAAACTCTGAAAAAAAAACCTCTCGTTTTTCATGCATCCTGTGGGCCCTAGCATGAATGTTCTCCTGCCCCGACACATCAGGATTTCCAACAATTCATTTGCACCGCAGATTTACCACACTCAGATGCAGTTGGGTAAACCCATATTTACATTTCAATCCTCATGACTGTGAAAGATGCATCAGGCTGGGTGGTACACACTTCAAAGAGCCCACGGGCCAGCACTGATGATAACTTTCCCTAACAGCCCAGGCTATAAGCTGCTGTACAAACAGCCCCTGGGATACTAGAGTCACTGCTCTATGAAAATAGAGCTAGAAAACCACTTTTTCATGAGTGTGTTTCTCATTCTGTCCCTGTCAGAGCTCGCAACTGCCCCACAACACTTGGAACAATCTCCATGTCTTAGAAAAATTAAAATCTCTATAATTGTCTCTGACCACTCCACACCCTGTAACGCTCCCCACAAGCTGACCCGCGCTGCACAGCACAGCTTTCAGGCAGTGGCTGAACCCCATGCATCACCCCAGTGTCCCCAAGGGTTGCCCCTCACTCACTGGAGTCAGCATCTGGATGCTTTCTGCAAAGTTGCCTATGAACGCCATGATGGTCATCTTCTGCATCAGCCTCTCAATCTTGCTGAACTGCATCATGAACCGGTCTTCGTCAGACAAGTTCTCGATGGGTTTCCTTTCCCGCTCGTAGAGCCGCAACACTTTCACTTCGTTCTCGGTGGGCAGGAACCGCATGAGGCATTCGACAAAATCCACCGGCAACGTTTTCAGGTCAAACCTGCGTGATAACAAACCGGAAAAAGTGGTGATAGGACAAAGCTCTACATAAAATGATGGAAAAGTAAAAGAAGAGAGAAAGCTGCCAAAGGCAGCTCTGCTTCCTACACTGCTCAGCTACACATTAGCCTGAGTCAGTATAGCAATAAGAAACTATGAAGATGCTGTGAAGTGACTTGCTCTTATTGCCCTGGCTGGGTCTGGGGACACAGTCTTGCATGTGAAGCTCTCTGCACATGAAGATGTGAACAAGGTCACTGTGCTGATGTGAATGGTGCTACTGGGCACCCTGTTTCTGTTTCCAAAGAATTTTCATCAGAGAAGATAGGCAGGGAGGAGCAAACAGCAGTTTTATTTAATTGGGCCAGAGCCCTGTAAACCTCAACAGCCAAACTGCATCAATCTGCAGCAGGTTTGGGTCACCCTCCTCACCAGATCAAATTTAACAATTGTGCATCCAAACTTTGAAGATATTCCTCACTGGAGAAATGGCAGATGTTTGTCATGGCCACAAGTACTAAATGCTTTTGGATGGATTCAGGATCAGCCCCACAGAGCAGGTATACCTGAGACCTGCTGGAGTCAGCTGGCAACAGTCCATATCAGCATGGGATGAGACACACCTGTATTACACTGGGGTTTGGCACTGCCTGCAGCCATTACATAAACCTAATTCTATGAAAAACCTTCTTCTGCACTTGGACTAAACTCGTGCTTCATGGAGCAAAACTAAAATAATTGCCTCTTCCTGATACTCTGGCTTTTGAGTGTTCACTGTAACAGAAAATACCGTGCAAACAGAACAAGAGATGCGGTATGTAGTGGCATACTCTGTATATATATGAATTTGCTTCTTTAATAAGAGAAGTGTTAATTTGATAAGCCTCAATAGTGATACAGTGACATAAAGCTGCAAGTTTTAACTTTTAGTTCAAGGGAATCTGATTTCTGGGAACTCAGAATGGTTCCATCCTTACTCCTGGATTTTCTCCAGATGCAAAAACATTTACATCAACTGCCGGTTCAAAACCATTCCACTTACCAAAATCACAGTAAATCTTGAATATGATTTCTTTGCTGACAAGTGTTTTACTTACACGTGAATAGCTTTGCATATTTCATCTGCTGTCTTTCCAGCTTTTCTTAAAGTAATAGCAAGATTTTTTGCCCTGTTGGCATCCAGTAATGTGACTTTGTTTGACCCTTTCTGAGTTATCTTTTGCTTGCTTGAAGTAAGATCAATGGCTGGACCTTGGGCTTTTGTTTTAAATATTTCTTCAAATTCATCCACATTTAAATCCTAAAAAGGAAAGAAAATGATTTATCCCTCCTGCAGTGAACACTAAAACCCATGCTGCCTAATATTGTGCCAAAACTACAATAAAAACCTTGCGGTGGCTGAGACTATAGCAGACTACTTCAGTCAGGGGCTGCAGATGAAACCACCATGCGTTCCTGAGTTACTGATCAGGAAATGTGGCCTCTTCCCCCAACAGCCCTATACACGTTCAAAAGTTCAGGAAAACACTCATGTTAGCACTCGTGCTTTATCCAGCCACGTGGATCTTCAGGGCACAAGGAGCATGCAAGACCTTGCATGCTCAGCTCTGCTCTCTGCTGCTTTAGGCTTCGTTCCCTGGCACACAGCCACCACCCAAGCCTAACTCCTACAGACTGATCAGCAATTTTAGGCTGGGAAAAAATAAATCATTCTCATCTTGGATCATCTGTTTTAAACAAATGCACACAACAGGTATGCACCCTTTACTATCAGTACCACTACAGCTACCATCCCTAATTCTCAACCAAGGCACTCATGCTGACCCATGGGGCACCAGGGCCTACTGGATGAGCCATCTGGCAACACAATTGCTGGAATCACTGATATTCACTTGTGTTATGGACACAAGTAGGAGCAGAAGGCAGCAAGTAGCATTCATACCTCCAGGATCCTTTCGTCATCTATTTCATTGAAGACCGTCCCATTAATCTGGTTGGGTTTGAGGGCAACCCAGTTGAACACTGGCATGCGGAATTTGGTCTTGATTGGCTTCTTGATTTTCACAGCTAAAGATACCAGAGGAGAGGAAATGACAAATTCTCCCAGCAAAAACACCCCACATGCCTAGACTGCAGCTTTTGAGTCGGGATTTCAGCATTGGAGGAAGAACCGGCCAGAGCTAAACTATCACACTCAAAACCTGGAGAGATCTTGCTGCCTGGATAGGCAAACAGTGCCGAAAGGCTTTCATCCAGCCCTTCATCTCTTTCAGGCCCAGGCTCTGCAGAACAGGACTAAATGCCAGACACTGTGACAACTTCACTAAACGAGATGTGTTATTAATTTATTACTGCATGATGATGGATTGATTTAAAAGCCTGGGCTATATTTAAACACTACAGAAAATGGAAAGAGTGGTCCAATTTAACCCTGTCCTGCTTGTTGCAGAGCCCACCCCCATGTGAACTGATGCACAGGCATGCGCAGCTGATCTGTCACCTCTGTCACAAAACTCAATGCAGAATAGGTGCCAAGAAGGAAATAAAAGCCCCTTTCCTAAGGTTTTGGCATAGGGAGCAGCCCCTCCCATTGCCTGTTGCAATGGGGCATTACTGCTTCTCACCAGGTTTGTCTTTTCAAGCAAAAAGAGGTAGGCTGCAGCACACATGAGCTTTAACATGGTTGAAATAACTGGTTTAATAATCTTCCTGTGCTGTGCAGAACCAGTAAACTATTTAGTAAGTTACACAGATAAGCTATGAAAATACTGACTACTCATCAAGAGTACAGAAAAGTGATGTCACAGCAACACGTTTCTATTTCTATTGCAAACAGGTCTGGAAGGCACATGAATAATTTCTGTAACTGAGTTCTCATTTCTTTGTATCTTGATGTAAACATGAAGATGGTAGTTGCTACAAAACCAGGTTGCTCATTAAAGTCATCAATCAATGTTTTGCTTCTGAAGTACTGAGAAAATAAACTGTTTCTTTCCAAGCTGCAAACATGAAACAGAAACCCTGGTTCTTCCTCTCCATTGATGGAAAAAAACAGCCATTTGGTTGGTGGCAGAGGGGAGGCAGGGGTACCCCTGCCGGGGATGCCCAGCCCCGCAGCACACCTAAACAGGTTCACCGCTACCCCCACGTGAGGATGGATCATGTCTGGTTTTGTGCAGTCCAGTGTTTGCTCCTCACTTATGCCTACCCTGCACTTGTAGCATGAGTGATCCTGCCAAGTATTCCATGCTTTGTAGGGTTGCTAGATTTTTGTCCCTCCATTTCAGAAGATTCCAGGTTCTCAGGTTGCAAAGCACTTGAGCAAGTAATCATTTTACTTTTCCATAATGATTCTGTGTGCATGTTTTAGCCAGGACAGAAACAACCTACTTCAGGACACAGTCCCGTTGTGCACTGGAGTCTGGTGAATGCTGAAAACATTTCTGTTGCTTTGTCATTCCACTTTAAAAACAAGAATCAAGTTGTGTGTCCATGTCCCTTTCATGCTCATGCTCATTTTGCAGGGACATCACAAAAAATAAATTACTGGCAAGAGTATTTGCTTGAAACAAAGAACCATAAGTGAACAACAGGGAACATACACAATATTCAGCTGTGTATTTTGGGAATTATGCTTATTCAACTGGAAGACACGAACACACGTGATCGACTTCTGCTCATCTAAACTAAACAGAATTTTACTCTTTAATTAATGTGGTTACTTCAGAATAATCCCTAAAATGAAAAAAACCCTTGCTTTTTCCATCTGAAACAACCATTGAAAAAAACCCAAACAAAATTTCCGCTTGCACATGTATTAGAATAGATTATTAACTGCTTCTGGGTTATTTTAGGACAGGAAAGAAAGCTAACTGCCTCACGGGCCAGTTCCTGATATTGCTAATCAAAACATCTTAAAATTTCCCTTCCTCCTCCACTATAGAGCCCTGGCAAGGTGACATTCCCAGGAATCGTGCTGCTGCCAGCCATGCAGTGGGGATACGGTCATGCTGGGGACCAGGCCCTGCAGAGGGTACTCGCCACTGGCAAGAGCTGCTGCAGCTTCACACTTGGCCTCCCTGGGAAAAGCCCATCCTTGGTGTGACCAGTACAGAGAGCTTAGCTTGAGCGTGGCTCAAAAGAAACCATGTGTCTTAATTACTTGCTGAAGTGCTTTGATGAATCAGGGTCTCCTCGGTGCCAAATCCTGATGGTTGGCAGCATATCCAAAGCTAACACATGCTCTGGCTCTGGCTTTGGCCAGCAAACCCCTGCATCAGCCTCCCCCCACCCCTCCACTCCCTCCCCATTGCAGGACGCAAGTCCACAGGCACACACACGGGCACAGCACAGAGGGAAAAGTGGAGAGGTACATAAATACTTAGCAGAAAGCAACCTACAGAAGAGCTTGATTGGCCCGTCTTACCAGGAAGCAGAAAGAACAGAGAAAAAAATGTTAGCAATGGTCAAAAAAAGCAAATTTGTTCTTTCACTGACTCCCCTCTGACCCAGACAAAGTTCCTGCCCTGGTTTCTGTCAACGCTCCTTTCTGTGCAGCCATTGGATCAAGACAAGGCACTTTCCATCTCCTTCTTTCTCCTAACCCACTGAAGAACAAAATATCCATCCCACCTGGCTTTGGGCATCTCACTCAAGCACCTAAGAGAGAAGCTCTTGCTTCAGGGCTTGCCACTCGCCACTGGCGCAGCTCACAGGAGCTGTGTGCAGAAGCAAGGCTTGTCCCAGTGCTCCCATACCCAACTAATGCCACAAGGATGTGGGGCTAAAGCTTGACATCTGGGCACCTGGTGGCACAACCCCTGTTGCATGCAGCAGCTCCTGTGCCCCCGGTAGCTGAGTCCCGAGCCCCACCATGGCCACGTCCAAGCACCCCCTGCCACTGTGCACTGCTTGCCAAACAACCACTGCCTGCTCTGCCAAACCCACCAGGGAGGATCAGCCTGTAACCTCAGCTGTGTTGTGCCTTCTGTGGTTTTTCCTTTTTGTAATACACTCTGGGACCCTGGAGTTCCATGATGCTTCTAGCTTTCAGAGGAAACTTGAAAGGCTGGAATACTTAATCAGTTTAAAAATTAAAAAAATCCCCACCCTATTAATCAGAGCTCCTCAGTCTCTCTTTCTGGGCTCAATAACATGCTCTTGCGAGGGGGAGTGGCGTGATGCCAGTTAGCATTCACTTGCTGCCTGAGATGCTTGGCATATGTCAGAGTGCATAAAAACATGATCAAAGATGGTCAAGTAAGTTCTTCCTTCCTTTCAAAAAAATTCCCGTTTGCTTGCACAGATATTTCTTCACAAAATTCTCAGAAGAAATCAAAACCATGAAGCTTTGTGTTTCTTTCAAAACCATATTTTGTTTCCTTAAAGCCAAAAATGATCATGTTTGAAAAATATTTCTGGCAATAGCTTTAGTTTCACTGAAGAAGGCATCTCTTCCAGACCAAACCAAAACTGTCTTCTTGATATATGCTCTTTCCTTTTATAAATCCTTTCTGCTATAATACCAGTAAGAGATAACGGGTGACTAAGTCCCACCTTGGCACCCTGTCCACTCTAGCTGATGTGCCCTGACTTGCCTTTGCTTACTTTGCCAGTGACCCACAGCATACCAGGAAAATGGATGGGTGTTTTACCTGCAAGCCCTGAGTTGAACACCACAGTGGGAGAGGCTGTCCCGGGCAGCGGGGGTGCTGATGGCGGGGGTGGTGGAGGCAGCGGAGCTGCAGGAGCTGTCTCCAAAGCTGGACCTGGGAGAGGAGGTGGTGGTGGTGGTGGTGGAGGCGGTGGTGGAGGTGGTGGTGGAGGTGGCATCAGCACCGACACAGGACCATTTTGCACTACGAGATCAAGGAAAAATTAGGCATTTCAATGAACATAGACTGAAGTAGTACAAGAATGCTTACAAAATGTCACAACATCCACCCCCCTATACATCTCCTCCTTCACCAGACTGGCCCAAGCACTAGTGGACCCTTCCCCAAAGTACTTCAGTGCATTAACATGGGAGGAAACTACCTTAATGAAAGAAACCAGCATTTTTTAATGTTGACTGAAGGGCTCAGAAATGGATCAGACAAACACGGGAGCTACCCAGAGAGTGAGAGTGCAAACACAGCTGGGGACCTCAGCATCCTCAGCTCCTGCAAGGTGCCATGACCTGCAGGCTCATTACAACTGAAGGTGGTTTTATCGGCACAAGGCTGCTGTGACTGTCCCCAGCATAACAAACTCCACTTTCAGCTCCCAACCAGCCCGCATCTCAGGGACAAAAGGCTTCTTACCTGCCTCAGATGCCGCTGCTAAGGTGGGTAATGGTGGTGGAGGTGGTGGCAATGGTACTGAAGATGTAGCTCCAGCAACTGGTGCAACACATGTTCCAGACCCAGCCTCTGACCCTGCTGGCACCATCCCAGAGGCCAGAGCAACAGGAAGGATAGAGATGTCACCATCACCTTTCTTTTGGATCTTAATGGTTCCCTGCTTCTCCAGTTCATGGATCTTTTTCTCCAGTGTTGACTGTCGCTGGATGGCTTCTTCTTTTTCTTTCACCATTTTTCTCAAGGTATGAACCTGGGTATTTGCATCTTTGTAGATTTCCTGAGAATGCCACAGAAACAAGGAATTTGCACTTGTATTCACAGAACAGAATACCAATGTCAGAAACAGAGGAATAGCCTGACACTGGATGGTCACTGCGCCAGGCTGTATCTAACACTGAGCTCTGATGCAAAGCAAGTCTTCAATGGTGAGGAAGCATTCATTTTGTGTTTTTCCCAAGGTAGCAGCAAGGCTGTGTACAATACTGAGTCCTGGGAGAAATCTCACCCGTAGCCACCAACACCTGGGGGTGCAGAATTTCTCGTTTTTCCATGATGTCTCTCATTTCTTATGCTAGTCTTGAACATGTACTGTAGGTACGCTACCTCAGTTTTGACTTCAGCAGATTATTTGCCACCTTGTTGGTTGTTCTACCTATAAGCAGATGTTGGCCCATACAGGGAAGCAGGAACAGAGCTCCTGATCTAGAGAGGAGACTATGCCTGCACAAACCCAGGGCAGACCCTCTGAAGGAATCCTAGAAGCAGCCACACTTTCAGATGGCATTTAGGCTGAAGTTAGTTAATATTATATCAATATTTTTGTTACTAAGTTTGTATACCAAGAAGTAATGTCTGGATTGTTCACAGAAAGCTGGCTGTGCTTGACAGCACAGACACAGGGCACTTGCTCCTGTCCTGCAGCTGCACAGCCCAAAAAGGACTTCAAGTCTACTTTGAATGCCCCTCCACAGCCAACCACGTGCAAAGCTCCAAATAGCGATGTTACAAACCAGAGCAATAGGATGTACCACATTCACTGATGCGCTGGCACATTCAAAAAGCTTTTATGTTCATCTTCGAGTTCATGCACAAGTAACTCTACTTGAAATCTGTCCTAGGTTCAGAATCAGGAAGCTACCAGAGGTCACTTGTGCCAGAATCATTACCTCCCATACACCAAGTGTTAAGAAGATTGCTCTCCTGAAGCATGGCATCCAGCCAGAGCTTTCCCACTGCACTTACCCGAATCACATCCAGTTCTTTGTTTCTTTGCATAAGCTGTTTTTCCAGTTCCACAATCTTTGCCATGGCTTCATTCTCCGTATCTTGGAGTTTTTCAGATAACTATCATTCAAAAAGAGAAACAGATTATATAAGTGGGTAACAGTAGCTTTCTCAACCAAAATGTCAGGAACAGTTGGAGCAGGGGTAGATGGTAAATTACTGATCTTCCACCAAATCCTCTGCATGTGGTCAGAGGGTGCTGAGTGTCCTGCTGAAGGTTCTTCTGATGAAGAATGCTATTCTTCAGGTATTACCAGCAAAAAACCTGGCTGGAATGTAGCTATGAAACTGTCCAGGTTAAGAAAGCCTATTCTATAATAAAGCACTTAAAATGCAATTATTTCCATACACACTAAGTCTAATCTGAAACCCCAAAACCTCACAGAATATCACAATGGCACTGTTGCAAAACGAATAGACGCTGAAATGGTGGAATGTGTAAATATCACCTCTCACAAGGAAGTTAATTTGATTATTTATGAATTTATTTTCTTTTTTACTTCCACTGTCTTCTGGTTCATTTTCATTTTCTGCCAGCCCCACAATCCTGAGATCTGAAAGCCTCACAGTTCTTGTTGGCTTTTCCATCACCACCATTATCACACTTCCTCAGGCGAGGCTGCAGAGGTGAGGTGGCACCGGTTGCTGTGTTTTTGAAATAAAACTTCAATAATTCTATTATTAACATTTCTGTCAACACATGACAGAAAATTACGTCCATGGGTCCTGGGATGAGTACAGTTTATGTAACTAGATCAAAACCAAACCCTTAAAAATGTGACACCAGAGTAAGCCATTAAGTTTCCAAAGAGCTAGAAGGAGATCTATGAAGCCAACACTGCCATTTCTACTGAATTATCTCTCACAGAGAGGCACCTCAAAGGGGTAAGTGCTGAATAGCAAGTTGTTTTAAGAACATTTATTCTAAGTGATGGCAATATAAGAATTGTAAGAGAATGATGAACCATTTATGATTTTTTAATGTATGGAAAAACATTTTGACTTTAAAAAAGCCAAGCCATGTTTTCTGGACTACAGTAACTGACAATAAGAAGGTATGGGACAGAAAAGCCGTGAACAAACAATGAACTGAGCAAGCACTAGTATCTCTTTTTCAGTCCCTTCCCGCTTAAGCCCACTAATGTGTTTTAAGACACTGATGGGGGGGGGGGTTATCTGCTCTATTTACCAGTACTGCATTACTAATGAATTTGCAGTTTCTATGTAAATTAGCTTCCCCAGCTTATGAAATAACCTTGCACAGAGGCTCTGTGTGCCAACTGACTCCACCTGGAACTGCAACCAAACTGAAGCTGAAGCCTCTGAAGCTGCAAACCTGCTGCACCAGGGCCTTGGGGACCTCTGCTCCGCTGGCCCCCAGGCACAGGGAGTCATCACCTCCCAGCTCACAGCAGCTTTTGGGGATAAACTGGCTGATGCTAATGAGGTGTGCAAGCACTGCAGCTGTGTCCATGTGAGCAGTCATACACTGCGGAGCACAGGCTAAACTATCCCTTGATGTACACAGAAACGCTGCGTCAAGCCCCACATTAACAAGGCAATGCCATCCTTTGTAAGAAGCTAGGGGTTGCATCAGATAGGAGAGTAAATAAAATGACAGAATAAGACATTTTCTCATCAAGCCAATAAACAGTTTGTGAACAAGCCTTCGTAGCAAGTGGAGCACACAGAAAATTAAACACACAGAATACGAGGTCCAAAATACAGCTTGAAAGCACCCAGGAAGTTTACCTGCCCGACATCTCCCAGATTCCTTCATTTGCCAAATACCTGATTATTCCCCCAGTGCAGAAACATAGTAGTCCTAAGGCTTTTTCTAAGTGAACCTGACCCGAAAGGCGGTAGCCCTGCTGTGTCTGTGCTTCCACCTCCCAAAATAGGCCATAGCAAAGCCCATGCGCAGAGTGGGTTCCGAACTACTTCAGAGGCAAAGGTGATAAAGTGTGGTACTAACATGGGAAATGTTTTCTTCCAGTTCTTCAACTCTTTCCAGGGCTGCATTCTTGGTTTCAGCATCCTCCAGTAAAGCTCCTACATCAAAAACGTTATCCAGGTAAGCTTGAATTTGCACCTGCAGTTTATCACTCTCCGTGTGTTTCAGTTTCTGCAAATCCAAGAAGACAAGTGTGTCACTCAGCATTGGCAGCCATTCGCAGCAAGAGGGACGCAGACAGCAAATGGGGTGGGGAGAGCAGTGGGAGCTCAGGCCGCTTCCGTCACCCAGAACACCACAATCTAATGTTAGCTGGGGTCATAAATAAAAAAGTCATTTTTTTTAAACCAAAAATCCAGACCTTTCAAATAAAGCTAAGCAGCATCTTATCTTGTGCTACTACAGAGGATGTTACTGCTTTCTTCTGTGCTTGCTCATTGACTGTGCAAGCTCTGAATGCCATGTCCCAGCTCTGAGAGAGTGCAAGGCCAGGGAGGCATGCAGCCGGTGGGGCTGGTCCTGCTGCTGCCCATGGTGGTCACCAGCTCAGTGTCCAGTAGGCAGAGATGAGGCCTGTGTTTGGGTTCAAAGCAGCCACATGGCCTGGAGCAAACCGTCCAATTGCTCCCACTGACCTTGCGTTGGAGTTTGCTGTGTTCAAAGTGATCATGCTTTATCTCCAAAGATAACACCAGAGCACCAGTTTTGAAATGCTCTGCCTGTTCCCAGGGGACTGCAGGGTTTGTGCCACACTGGGTCCCCAAACAGACCTGTGTTCAGTCTTGCAGACAGCAGAAAACCTCTCTCCTGGTTACTGCTGAGCAGAAGTCAACAGGGACAACTCAATCCCTCGTCAATACGAGTACCATGTTCATGTGCACTCCCAAGGGCAGGAACAGGGAGAGAAAGAAAAATACAAGAATGGGAAATACAAAAGCAGCTTTCTTCTGAAAGCAAGCATTTCCCTGAGGACACAAGAAAACACCTGGCTAACAAGAGAAAACTCAAAGGAGGATTTTTTTCATGCAGAGATGGAGGGGGCCCTGGCAGTATCTGAGCTGGGGTCAACACAAGGCTTGTAGCCCACAGCTAGAGGTCAGGGACGTGGCATGGGCGAGGACGACTGCGGTTCATCCTCCCTTTGTTATAAGGCAAAGCTAAAAATTTAGCTCCCAGTCTGTAATTGCAGTTAGTTGCAGCTGATTTTTCTTCTGCAGGGATGGCTCCAGGCCACAGCCCCCAGTCAGCAGCCAAGGCATGGCATTTTTAGCAGAGACCATGGGACAACCGTGTTCTGCCCTCCTAAAAGCTCTCGGGTGAGGGCTTTAAGGAGGTTTAAGGCTAGGCCGGGCAGTGGCAGAGCTGAGGGATGTGGTGTGGACCCACCATGGCTGTAGGTGGGCCTGGCTCACATGTGCCCAGCCGTGGGGAACAGATCTGCGCTGCGAGGTGGTGGAGACCCAGATCATACTCACATCCAAGTACTCATCCAGGCCAAGCTTTGTAAATTCGTACTGCAGGTGGACTCTGAAGTTCATGTCCTCCACTGAGTGGACAACGATGTTGATGAATTGCATGCAGGCCACCTGTAAGGAAAACCACTGCACGTGAGAGGAGGCGTCAGAGGATCAGACACAACAAATGACAACATTTCCTTGCAGTTAGTACAAGGGGAAACTGTGATCTGCTGTTCTGCAGGTCTTTTCCAAGTTGGTGCTGGACTTGGGCTTACAGAGCGTTCATCTGCTGTGATAAAGGGAAACATGGGTTCCAGAAATTAGTCATGTCTGCAGTCTACCTTTCCTGTGTGGTGGTGAACACAAATGCTTTCCATGCCAGCTTGCATAGCCAGACATTGTACAAGCACACAAGCTCTTTAAGAAAATAACGCCATTTCTACAACAGCTTGTAAAAGTGAGATTAATTTTGCAACTGGAATCCCTAGTTTAGGAAATGGGACTTTCACAAAAGGCACTTTGTTGTTTGCAAAAAGAATATTTCCAAAGCTGTGGTTTGGTAACTGAACCAGATCATAGGAGTCGGCATCCAAACATGTCCCAAACAAAGAAGGAAAGGAAAAGAATGAAGCGGGTTGCCAGTGGTACAAGCAGTGAGGGAAACCTCCTGCACAATGGCAGGAACTGGGCTACAAATCCCAAAAAGTCTGCCCTTTACTTGAATGTATGGCACAACCAAATCCTGCTCTGCACAAGTCTCCCCAGCCCACTTTCAGCTCACAGATCATCATGTCTATGACCCTCTAAGCTGCTTTAAGAGAGGGTTTGCCTGGTCCTTCCTGGGCTCCTCAAGGGCATAACCCTACCCTGCTAACAACACTGCAACTGAGGTAGTAATGTAGCTTTTCAACATCTACTGAGATACTTCCCAGATTTCCAGAATGAACCTGAGAAGATAAAATAGAAGCAACCTGATTTTACCTGCAGGAAAAGTCTCCAGGAGAGGAGACCCCACATCTCTGGATCACTTTTTGGGAAGAATGAACTGAAGGCCACTCGCTGGATCACCAGTTTGATACAGGAAACTGGCCAGTTTTCTGTGATCTCTTGCAGGGCCCAGAGGATAAACTCATAGGCAGGCATCTGCTCTACTGGGACCTTTGACTGCAAGTCTGGCTGGGATGCCCAGAGCTGCTCCTTCCAACCAGAGGTCCCAGCAGCTGCTGAGCTGCCACAGAAACTTTCCCAGCCAAACTGTCCAGTACCACCCAGCTTTGGAGGAACTGGGACCACAAGGACCCAACAAAGGTCAGTCAGAATATTTCGGTTACATCTTCCCATGTAGAACTGAGTAACTTAAACCATTCTGTTTCCAAAAAGACTTCAGCTCTAGATAATGCAAAGCTGTGAGACTCGTAACACAGATAAGTAAGATAATGGTCTAGAGACTCATTGAAGAACCCCTGTGATATCCCACCCCCACCTCTCAGTGTGTATGCATCCCTTAAATGAACAATCCAGTCCATGCAGTTGGAAACCTAGCTCCAGGTTTCAAGTCTTTGCAGGACCTTTTCCAGTTCCTGTGGTGAACTCTATTTCCTCCCAGTGCTGGTACTGGCCTTAGCCAGCTGAACCTTGCTGTCCTGTCGTATCACCCAGAGCCAAATTCCCCTATTTCAAAAGTGCTTTTGTTATACTTGCTTTGGCTCTCACAACGTTTGGGCCAAATTCTCATTTCCCTTCTCAGATCCTTACATACACAACTAAGGAATGTATCAAGTGAAAGAAAACTAATCTAAGAAAGTTGCTTTTAAAATGAAGTAAGTCAATGTCAACAACAGGAACCTTCTCTAGAATACTTTTGCTTTTTTGCCGCTCTTCCCTCCCTCTCGATTCATGCAATTAACTGCAGCGCCCTCCAGCTCCAGTTTCCCAGATAGCTCTTGCCTTCTCCATTTAGGGCAGCATGAAAGACAGGTCCTGAGAGAACAGGTCTTTGTTTACGTTCAGTCGCTGCAACTCCTTGAATTACTTGAACTTTAATTTAACATCTGGGAGCCTGGGCTACAGCACCCATTTTACCCTGACCTGCGTAAAGGCATGATGCCTGCCCTGGGCACAGCTGGTGTGACCCGCAGGCTCCCGCAGCGCCAGGGCCTGCAGTGCTCCCTGTGTGCCCCTGAAGTGCGCCCGCCGGCTAGTGCCTGCCGAGCACAGCATGTGGAGCTCATTAGGGCCAGATGGCGACAAGAACAAGAGGACCTGCCAAATCGCTTGTCATGAGCCCTCTCTTCTAGCTTTAAGCTTGTCACAGAGTCAAGCCCCATAGCTGGTGGAAGCAGCCCAAAGATGCAGATTTTATTAGTATTTGGGCAAGACCTAAAAAACCTGTATTTATTCTTTTTCAAGCAAATTTCATCACTACTTTCAACCTATGGCCTAAGAGAACCAGGAAATTTTCTTAAATGCCGTCCGGATGTTGACTATTTACAGGCTTGTACAGACACACACTCACATGCATATTGCCTTGTATAGCCTTACAATACTCTTAATTAATATTTTAAACAACAATGAAGGATTATTTTATTTTTTAAAAGGCTCACAGCAAGGTAGCTGGCTGCAGGCTGCTGCCATCCTCTTGCTTCCAGGCTGCTCCAAGCTGTACTATTCTCCCACTCACCAAATATGATTACCCCTCTCTGTGAGCATGGGAGAAATGACTAAGAGTGGATGTTGAGAACTGACAAATCTTTCTGCTACATTATAGACTAAACGGTATGCACATCTGGGAATACTTAATGTATACTGTGACTACCAACATGTCCTTACTGGGACTGTGGTAACAAGGAACAAAACCAACTGTAATGTGTCAGAGTTACTGACAGCAGCTTGCTAAATCGAGTAAAATTGCAAGGATCACTAACTTTTTTTTTTTTTTTTTTTTTAAATAGAAGAAAGAGACCATTCTATCTTACTCATACCATCTCCTTTTTATTCTGCTGTCCCTTCAAGGGTGTGAGCCTGCCCTGGCCATCAGGGCTGCAAGACACTGACACTGGAGTGTACAAAGCCTGTAGGAAGCACCACACTGGACGCTTTAATGCCTAATTTCTGGCAGAAGGAGGTCTTTAACACAAAGCTCAGCAGTAAAACAGGATGAAGTGTCACAGATGTTTAACAGAGGCTTCCGGGTGGAAAGCCCTCCTGCTTTGCTCTCACCTCAGAAGAGGATCACATCAAATCTGAGGCACTGAGCATGAGCAGCATAAGGGAGGTTGCACTGACTATGCCAGCATTTGTTTTCTAATTAAGAATAGGACTTAAATTTCTCACACTTCTGACATGACTTAGACTTTAAAAAAAATGGATACAGAAGTATTTTTGATACCAGACACATAAGCAGCTGGCTCATCCTCACTGTCACAACCTGTGCCTTTCACGCAATGCCAACATGCAAGCTGGCACTGGTGTTTGTGGGTGCCAGCCAGAGCTTCCTCTCTCGCTGTTCCCTCTTGTGCTCCAGGGGAAGTGGATTTGGTGAATAATCATGCATATGAACACTGAAGAACTAAAAGTGGTGCAAACTAATGCTATATTTATCAGCAGATAAGGACAGACAGCAGCTGCAGTGAGTCTCTCCCACACTTCCCTGTCTGTGACTCTGAGGATGCTGGCACACAGACAGAATACATATCTTGATATTGCAGAAGCTGCTGCTTTGCCACAGACAAATAGCACACATGACCAAGAGGCTGCTCTCCTCTTACCTTCAGTATGGTACAAGGCATGTCTTGAAGACAATTAAATTGAACAGAAGCTAAAAATGAAACGTACATTATATAGATTGGAATATAAAAACATTTTACTGTGTTAATTTTAGGCTAAGGACAAGAAGACAGATACATCTCTGCCTATGACAGCATGACCAGACATAGTACACACTAAAACCAAAGTTTCCTGGTGATAAATAGCGCTCACCATGAAGTCTATATTGTTGTCTTCATTTCGGAAGTGCTCCATCAGCTTCTCAAAGCGCTGTTTCTCTCCACACACCTACAAAAGAATCACCATGTGTTAAACTACAGCTTGCAAGAGAGACCATGAAAAATGTTTAAAAAGCAAACACCATCTCCTTGCTCAAAATCTCTCTAACAGGTCAGGTACAATTATAAACCTTTGTATCTTTTCCTCTACAAAATTTAATTATACTCACTGATGGTACAAACATAAATAGTTGCACTAGGCTATGTCACAGGAAGACTTGGCCTCCCTCACACTTCAGACTGTCTTTCCACTGCAATATATTTTAAGAAGATGACCAAACTACTGGGAGGAAAACCAGAAAATTTTCACCAGCTAAACAGGGAGTGAAATACATCAGCGTAACTATCAGCTGGTCAGAATTACAGAGCTGTAATACAGGGGTGTTGGCAGAAAACACAAGCAATTGGAGGGAGAAATAAGATCTAAGATAAAGCAGGATATTGTTAAATCTTACTACTTCCCAGTAGCTTCTCTGGCTTAGTCCTACTTTTCTCAGCACACAATTGACCTAGAGTAATCCACACCAAAATCACAAGACATTAAGTCAGAAAGCAGAAGGGAGCAGAGATGAGCACCAGGAGGTGCATCCATCCCCCATTCTCTCTACTTAGCAACAGCAACTCCTCCCTCTGTGGTGCATCATTTGGGATATTTTTTCTGTCCAGACACAAACGGACTACTCCAAACACCTAAGCTGTAGGTCTAGGAGCCAGTGCAGGGAGCTGCCCCACACACAGCTGCCCCAGCATGGTCAGATGCAACACGATGGGAGAAATGTAAAGTGTTCCACATGTTCCCAAATTCACTGAGAGCTCCCTCATACCCTGCACCATGAGTTGACTTTTCTCACCTGCTGGATTTTCCGGTCAAACTGAGCAATGAATTCAGGAAGAGCACAGGCATGCTCTTCTGAACAAAGTGGTAACTGCCTGGGTAGGCACATCCGTGCACTAACAGTGTTCAATGCTGCTCCCAGCTTCACCCTCCTTAGATGCTGGCTGCTTACAGACAGACAGAAGGAGCTCTGAAAGAAGCCATTTTGCTCTTAAAGGTCCTGAAAAAGAGTCATCTGGAGAACTGAGACTTCCCTTCTACTTAGGAACAAAACCCTCAGTGAGCCCAAGGGGCTCCTTCCTTCCTCAACCAGATTTCACTGAAATGTCCCAGGAGCACTGGGAGATACTGACCAGGAGCAAGGGACACAGCAGTGAGACCTCCAACCCAGGCTGTCTAGTTAGGGTTGACTGGCCTCTGAGCAGCACACCCCTCTAGACATCAGCTGCTGTTTTCCTTAACAACCAGATCGTGGCCCAGTTGTTATATATTAGCCAGTGGATGGTAATTAGGGATAAGAGAAAGCACTGTTTGCTGCTTCTTTAGAAGCTGTCCTCTCTGGGGCAGGTACCAGTTCTTTGTACATATTTCTATGTTTGTGCCCTCCACAAGGAAACCAAATTCCCAACTAGGGTTTCTACATACTCCCAAAACTTTACAAAGTACGCATTATTATTACTATTCCTGTATCACCTTCCTCCTTGTAACTATATCTATCCTATAGTTCACAAAGTTTAAGGCACCGAGCAGACCTCACTGAAGTCAGAGTTTAGCAGCACCTGAACTGAGCTAATCACAAGATTTGCAAAGTCCTGCAAGAAATGGCTTGTTGAGTGACTTCTTGCCATGCTTCTGCTGTTACAACCGAATAAAACATACTTGTGGTGTATGTGATACGACTTCTGTCGTTCCTAAGCAAAATTGCCACAACTGTGTTATTATTCAGGTATTTGTGGTCAGTACCTGATGTCAATGGGAATTCTGCCACTGGATCTCTGTGAGAGCACAGGGACGCTGGTTATGATGAACTATCTGATAACATTACCATCAATATTCATGGCTATAATCCCTCAAGTTGCAACTAATGGGCTCTGTGTGGGCTCCACAACCCCTACTCACATAGCTCCTGCTAGGAGGGTGCTGAAGTCGCACACAAACACTTCCTGAAGTTGTGTTTAAATGTGTCCAACTTAACCTTAAAGACACACAATGTAGAATAAACACAAATAACAAAGCATGCACCCTCATGAAAAACAGATTACACTTGCTGGTCAAGCAAATTATCATGATCTTAAACCCAAAGGACTCTGGTCTCTCTGCAGTCTATGCCATGAAAGTGGTTTTGAAAGTTTAAACACCTTCACAGGGGCTGTTCTTCATGGCTCATAAAACACACATTAAGGTCTAAGACAGAGTAAAATGGAGCCAAGACAGACCCACTCTTGGATGGAGCAAGTCTCTTTTGTATTACCTAGCCTGCAGCTGTGCAAGGGGTGAAGCATGCACGACCTGTCTCTGCCTAACAGAGATGGGGGGCCTGGGACATGGAAAGGATGGGGGAGTTTGGAGAGCCACTGCCATTCAGCTTCGGGATGCAAATTTTCAGTTTAATCTTGAGCTTTTCCTCTTAATGCTTGCAAAGCCTCCCTGCAGTGTCAGGAATCACCTCACTGGGATATCAAAGCCCAAACACTGCATGCAGACTCCCAACAGAGCAACTTCAGCAGAAACTGAGAGCAAGCGAGCCAGCCCTTGCCCCAGCCTTCCAGTGTGCTGCGCTTTTCAGCAGGTAGCTTAAGACTCTGGTGAAGAGTCTTAGGCTCTGCAAAGCTACCAAATGTCCAAACTCAAATCCAAAGTGGCCAGGAGCACCCTTGGAAAAACAGGGAGAAGGGAGACCATCATGAGCATTTTGGCATGGCTACCCTGGTTTCACAAGCATGCAGTTAAAAGCATGAGGTGGGATGAGTGCACTTAGCTCATCCAGAGCATCTCCACACCAGATATCACCAGTGCCTGTTGGCATCCCATCCGTCTCCCCTACTCTCTGCATCCATGACCAGGTATCATTTTGTCTTGAAGAAACTCAAGTTCCTTGAACATGCAGCAATGTGACCTACTCCCACCACGAATGCCCTACTAGGCACATTCTTACTCAGGGCCCACCGAAAGTGATCCGGGCAGGGTATAGCCTGCAGGCATGCAGCTGCATACAGCTTTGCTGTGGCATATGTCCCTGCCAAGACACACATGCTTCCACGCAGGAGCAAAACACCCTTCAGGAGGGAAAGAGACGAAACTCAGAAAAGACCAGCCTCTGTCAGCAAGAGCCAGAGAAAACTAGAATCTGGCTGGGTTTCAGGAACCTACTGGCACTGTAGGGATCAAAGGCAGCAGCTGCCCACTGATATAATTTGATTTTGGAGGCATACGCTGGGCTTGATCCAACCCTTGCTCAAAGCAAACCCCAGCAACCATCTCCTCTTGCATCATGGGCTGCTTAGGTGCACTTATCCTTACGTTATCATCCCAGGCCACTTTTTTTCCTACCATAGTAAATGGAACGGTATTTCAGTTAGACCCACTGCAAGCTCTGCCAGCACTCTCCATACTCTCCCCTCCCCACAAAACAGTTAAAAATCAGCATCAAGAAAGAATAAAGTAGGTTCATCTCAACTTTGAGCTCTAAACAATAGCATCTCTCTTGTACCCATTTCAGAGAAAATTATTTGAACAAAATCATGTATTGTGGAAAGAAACATAACAATGGTGCACGCAATCACTCAACAATAAAAGCCAAAAGGACTGATTTCTAATGTAAACCATTCCACATGGATGAGGAAAGCTGATATAAACAACTACAAGCCATTTATGGCTGATTAATTAAATCAAGGAGCAACCTGAAGTGATACAGCCTCAGCAGAGAACTGCTGATCCAGGAATGCAAGCAGCCCTGGCTAGCTGGAATACAGGAGCTTATAGCAAGAAGAAAAGCAACAACAACCTGCGGCTTTCAGTGGATACTTGCAGCTATTTCACACTATCATCAGATGAGTCAGTGCACTTCCATAGACAGCGAACTGCCTTTCATGAAATGATATAATTTATCCTGGAAGATTAAAGAGAGTGAGACTATAGATGAAGCCTACAGCCTGAAAATTGGCCAAAAACCAAGATGAATGCTGAAATCAAATCCCACCACATAAAACCATATGTTGCCATTTATATTTGAATTAATTTCCAGGGTCTGTCATTTGAAAGCATGGCTGGGACTAAGAAAGGCTGATCTTTCTTTTATTAGCATTATTCGGTGAAGAAGCAAGATTAAATGGGTTATCACAGCTATAAATAAACCTTCTGTCTCTACTTACACTGTGAAAAAACTTTTTAGGTTGCATTAAGCCCATGTCATTCTAGAAGAACAATGTGGCCTTATGGAAAACCACCCACGATGGGTCCTTTCTCTGGAAAGGCTTTGGGTGCTAACAAAGTAAACCCATCACAGATCTATTACGAAGGTAAAATACAATCCTATAAGAAGGTAAAAAGAACCATTACAAAAATTTAGTGACAATTATATCCATATCCACCTGGCATGCAGCTCAGGTCATACAGCTCACATCCAGACCACCCAAAAGCAAAGTCCAACTATGACAATCCTTGCATTGCTCCTGCTCACATGGCTGTATTACTGTAAGATGCTCCAAAAAGGCAACATGGACAGACAGCAAAAGACAACAAGGGTATTTTGGAAAAACTGAAGATGTTTTCGTGTGCAGTGTCAGGCAGAAAGTGAAAATGCAGGCTGACCAAAGCATGTCCATTGTCCTCCTACCTCAAACAGCTATCTAACAACACAAAGCACCACTTCATCTTGCTGGAGAATGCAGCTCCTAACCTCACCACAAGCAAATACAGCATGCTCAATACGGAGATGGCAGCAAACACCAGCAGTATTTAAGGCTTTGGAGCTGCAGCCTGCTGGCCAACAGTACAGAACGCACACTACGAGATGCAGCTGCCAGACTGCTCTCTTCTCCACATCCCAAATTCCATACAGAAAATTAAATCATTTTGGCTGTATTTACACTTGAGGTGAATATGTTCTGGCATGGCAAAGGCAGTTAACAGTGATCTCAAGGCAGGGAAAACAAACCCCTTAAAATACCTAGACC